GCAGCAGGCAGTAGCATTGCAGCAGGCAGCAGGCAGCAGCATGGCAGCAGGCAGCAGCATTGCAGCAGGCAGCAGCAGGCAGCAGCATGGCAGCCAGAGCAGAAAGAAGCTGAGGGCTCACATTTTGAACCACAAGCAAGAAACAGAGAGATCGGCCCAGGAATGTGGTGTGGCTTTGCCGCCTTGAAGCTTTTCAAAGTGTTACCGCACCTCCTAAGCCAACACCAACAGTGGCACCAATGGGCAGCCTAGTGTTCAACCATCTGAGCCTATTGGGGATATTCTTCATACCGTCACACTGTGGAATCTCTAGCTTCTTCCTATTATCTGCCCACTGGCACGCCCACTCAGCCACCTAGACCCCATGTATGTAGATCTTATCATTTGTGCTGCTTTCCTCTGCTCCAAGGACCCTTTTCCACCACTGTGTGGAGTGTGACTGATGTTCACAGCTGTTAGTTTCTTAGATGAAAGGCTTCCTTAGGTTGTGGCCTCCTGCCTAGAACAAAGCTCCCCACGGCCACGTCCTCTCTTGTAGCTCTTCTGTGCCAGTGCAGTGCAGTGGGGCCCCGGGAGCTTCCCGGGGGCTCCCAGACTGCCTGTCTTGGCTTAGCTGTCCCAGAGGAGATCCTGGGAGGAAGACTGGAGTCTAGCCCAAGATGATGTCACAGCCGACCCCAGGAAGCGGCAGCAGGGGAGAGTGGAGGTGAAGGAGGCAAGGGATGGATGGGAAGGACTCGTTCCTCAGCAGGTCGCCATTGTGCCGACTCCAGAGGGGAGAATGAGGAGCCAGAGTTACCTTAGCTAGCGTGGGACCTGGGAGGAACCCAGAGTTACCCTAGTAACAGGAGGAGAAAACACCCCTTCTTACCTTAGCTGTGGGAGGGCAAGTCTGGGTTACCCCAGTCCTACAAAGGGAATACTGGAATAGCTCTAGAGTTACCGCCAGATTCCACAGAGGAAACATGAGAGCTTGGGATTTGCCCAACTACAAGAGAGGAAGCCTGGCCTCCACCCTCCTGACCCCTGGTCCCATGCTCAGGGTGCTTCAGGACTACCAATCCCAGTCAGGAGAGCAGATTAGGATTCGGTTTCTGCGTATCTTGCAGCCTCAGCTCCTCTGGCAGCCACAGACTCTCCAGACACTCGCCAGACAAAAGGCTGGTTATCTGGGGCTGTTGGCAATGCCTCCCTCACAGAGTTGGTGTGCAGGTGAGAATGTGTACAGATGATAGATGGGTGTAGATGTGATATTCTCTGCCAGCAGCGGGTACACGTGAATGACTAGAACAGAGAAGGCTGGGATTGCTAGGTTGCTGGCTCTGTCCACACAGTCCACGTTCTCCATCTGCATTTCCATTCCTGCCTCCCTGCTCTGCCCAGGCCTGCTCGGCCTTAAGTGGTCAGTTAGTAAATGGAGGCCCTTCCATGTCAGCCCCTGTGGCCTAGGCCTTCTCCTCCATCCTAAAGCCCACCTCCTGGACCCTCCCTCCTTCTTGGGACCCCTTCCCACAGGTTCAGACTTGCTGTGTTGACATCAGGGATGGCAGCACAACCCGTCAGACTCCGTCTGTAGCAGGGCCGTTTCCCCTTCATTGCTGTTAGGGCCTGGGAATGCGGTGGGGCCTCCACATCACACTGAGCAGAGCAAACTCAAACAGAATCAGACTAGAGGGTTGCACACTGCTTGGCTCTCATTACTGTGAAATGAGCTGACGATTCCATTCCTTGAGGTCCTTTGAGTTGAACACTGAGGCTCCCTAGATGGTGTCCTGCTACAGTGACAAATGACAGGGCCACTCTCAGAATTTTAAGGTGAGGTCAACAGAAGACGAGTTATAAGAACTGCATATGACAGCATTTGAGGGAGTCCCCTCTCTCTGGGGACCATTTACCATATAGTTACAGGTGCTAAGAATCCTTAACCATGGTAGGGATGGAACAAGTCTCAGGTCATTTCTTGGTCCCTGGAGGCTGGGTGGTTTTTCCTGAGGTCTTCTTTAGAAGGTAACCATTTTTTTTTTTTGACCAGGGGTATCCTGGCTGTGTTTCCATGTGTGTCTTCACCCACCCCCAACCCCTCCATGAGAGGACAGGGACGAAGAGTCCATTTGCTTGCCGCAACATAATCCTTTGCACCCCCCGCCCCCAGGCAGTGGCCTTAGCTGTGGGAGCTCGGGTTTGGGGACCTTTTGCTGGGTGTTTGAGGAACTGGGAGGGTTTGCAGTGGCCTGAGGTTACAGTGCAAGTGGCCAGAGCTGCTGGGGCTGAAGGAGGCCAGTGACAACCCCCTCCACCCCCAAGTCACCTTCCCATGAAGTGATGGAGACCGACTGTGGGGGTTTCCAGTGCAGACCTGTAGGCACCATAGATACTGTCAGGTGATAGTGTGTGAATAGTGTGTGAAGCTGTTTCCTGGGATTGTTTTAGTTGGTGCAGGCTGAGGGAGGAAACCAACAGTGACAAACCAATTGCACCCTGATCAGGGAACAATGTAGTGTAGGGAGGCACCACCGAAAGTCTATAATTTCCCATGGAATTGCTCTTTAGTCTTCCCGTGGCTGCCGGATGACACAGTCGGGCTGGGTGGGAACCACAATTAGCTGCAGCCACCCGGGAGGGTTGGGTTTTCTTTTTACCCTCTAGACAATGGAAGATTAAGCCATCAATAGCCAGTGTTCAGTCCTGGATGGTGAAACGGCCCATTGTTCAACAGAGAAAGCAAAGTTGGGGGCGGGAGGCTCTCCCCAAGCAGCGGGAGGATGGCTGGGCGTGCTTCTTCTCCCCACCTCTGCTGTAGCGGGGAAGCGACAAGCCAAGGTGCGTGCAGAGCTGCTCTTACAGCCCCATGACTGTGCAGCGCTCCCTCAGCTGGCCCTGACGCGTGCACACACAAAACCACAGGCAGGCCTTTCTGTGCCGAGTGGACAGGTGCAGGCAGCACACAGCCAGCCCCTGGGTGAGTGCGCTAGCTTCAGGGCTGGATCTGCCCACATCTGCACCTGCTGCAACTTTATTCTGGGAATGACTTACTATGGCACCTGCTGGCAGCTAGGGGAGGGCCTTAATTCTTTCTCTCTTTGTAAATTCCTACCCAAAATATGTGACCA